ATAAGATAAGTTTTGAAAAAAGAAATCAACAGATTAATTTATAGTTTTTATATTAACAACTTTGTTTCTTAAATGAATTATTATTTTAAATGGTGTGTGGATGTGTTAGTGTCAGTGTCAGATGAGAATCTTGTTTTCAAATAGAATCATATCATAGAAAAGTAATTAATATTCTTTTTTTTAATTTATAATATTCTCCAATGTAGCATAAGATTATGTATTAATACTGTCGTTAAGATTTATTTCAAAATTTGAAAAAATTATTCATTGAAGAGTACTTTTCTAAATCTTCTATAGAAATTAGTAGAACAATCTATATTAGGGTATCTTTTCCCTCTTTGGTAACCAAAAACTCGATTTCAAACTGCGCCTAAGATATGATAGCCTGAAGTGCCACATGCAACTAGAGACATAATTCGACTCTAAATATCTTACCTTTACATAGTTCTTAGATCGAGAAAATTTTTTTTTTCATAGTAATCATATGTAAATTTTTTTCTTTTACTTATCGTTATGTAAAACAGCGATTTCCTAAATCTTGGTTGCTTACGATCCCCTTCTTAGTTTGTTCGATCGAGCTGAAAATTTTACCACTAATACTTCGAAGTATTCTCCAGAGGTAAAATCAAGCGTTTCCATTTTTGACGTTCCTACTCGGAATTATCGGGTCGTGGAAGCCAAGACCTGAAGCACAAAATCAAATCTTGGCGTATTTTTCTTATAAAAAAAAAAAGAAAATGAGATTTTTGGAAATCCTTAAATTTACCTCTGAGGAATAGTATTAGGCATCTATAAACAAAATTTCAGTCCAATTGGACAAACTATAACGGGAGTCGTAATGTATCAGGATGCGGACCTCTGGAAAACCAGGGTTTTCTAGAAAACTCCATAAAAACTTATGTTAAATTTTTTTTCCTTGAACACTTATCTCTTTATTTTTAGTGCTCTAACTGTGCTAAAAATTTCAGCTTGATCAGTTGTACCGTCTTCGAGAACCACCAAGTGTAAAAAAAGAGGGGAGGGGGAGTACCCTTATGATTCATATATTATTTATTAGTGATTAAGTTTTATTATTAAAATCATATTGATCATTGTATTTATTTTCTTTTTTCTTTCATTTAGATCAAAATGATGTTGATGTTCTTATTCATGAATCAACATTTGAAATAGATTTAGAAATGTATGTATGACAAATGCGTCATTGTACAATGACTCAAACTATTTATTGATGTTGGTCGTTGAATGAATGCTAAATATAAAATTTTATGGCTTTTTTCGCAACGTTATGCTAAAATTCCATTTTTATCTCAAAACAAAACCAGATGATAAAAGTCAAAAAGATGTAAAACAAGAACAAAAATTTGATACGGTTTGTATTTCATTTGATTTTATGCGTATTCATTTATCAAATTTACGACGTACATATGAACTTATTCCTATTTTTGAAAGTATGTTCTATTATAAATGGTTGAGTAGTATGAGAAAAAAAACAAACAAGACGTGAACAAGAATCAGTTTATTTTTCTAAAAATACAAGAATGATTGAATCAAAAAGAAAATTTGTAACTTAAAGGTAAATAAAAATAATATTTCGAAATTTATTTTATATTTTTCTTTTCTAGATGAGTAATAGGACATCACCATCTAATAAAAATCCGACACAATTGGAAACAAATATTAATCGCAATATTACTTTATCTTGGTAATAAGGAAATAATCAAATGATGTTCTTTGTGTTATTGTGTTGTTGTTTTTACATGATATACGTATAGTCAGTAAATCATTTTTAAGGTTTGAATAACTACACACTAAATTTAAATGCGTCGTGTTTATGTGTCGTACACTTCAGCAGAAAAATGTGTCGTATACGAATTTGTCGCGTTCTGTCTGCTGACTATTCGTTCACCGTTTTATTATGCACACATAACGATATATAAACAACGTGGTTGAACGTACGAAAAAAAATTTCAAAGTATTCTTATTTTCTAGATTATTTCTTGTTCATTTTTTTTTATCGAGAAAATGCCAATCACGATCCATGATCGAGAGAGGACTACCCTGAAGCGGTCTGATGCAAATCGGACCAACTCCAGATTGGACAGATCCCAGAATCTGGCCAGCTTGAGTCTTCAGAATAGGAAAAATTAAATGGAATTAAATTAAAAAAAACATCGAAATAAGATTTTCTAAAAGAACCAATAGAAAATGTGTCGCATGTGTCGTACGAAATGTGTCGTGGTCCTGCTGGAGAAAATGTGTCGCAGTGAGCTCCTCATGTCGCACTTTAATGTGTCGTAGGGCTTTACCGCTCACGCTCATGAGCGCTCATATGAGCGTGAGCGATACAGCCCTAATGTGTCGCAAAACGCTTCACATGCGATACATTTTTATTTAGTGTGTATATATATCGACTAACTAATTAGTATTAATTCTCTTTAATATTTCTTTGCACTCGTCTATGAAATATTAGATAAAACAACTGTTCATACAGAGTTGTCACATATAAAAAGTTGTATATTTTTTCTATTTTACTTTATCCGACTATATACCATGAGTGTTTCGATTAGAGATAACAGTTTAACTTCATTTTAAAGCTAAATTATATTTTTAGTCTTTTTTTGCAAATAAAATGATTTTTAAAAAATGAAATCTACGTCAACAAATAATCTATTTTGTAATATAATTCTTTTTTAAAAAAGAATACTTTTTTTTAATCAAAGAAATACCTTTTAGTCAACAAAAAGATGGTTTTCGTGAAATAATCTAATGAAACTTGAATTTTTTAAAGTTAAATTTTAAAGTATTTAACTTCAACTTAAAATATTCTATTAGATAACTTTAAAAATAGACTACCACTCCGAGCCCAAATATTTTCATGATACAAGAGAAGGAAATGCGAGGTCAACAATTCGGGAGGCATAATTAAAAACTTTTCAGATTTTATAAAAACTTTGAAGACTCCAATGATGTTTTTAGAATTGGTACGCCAAGAATTGAATAAAACCCTAAAAAATTTGCTTGGCTAAAAGAACACAATTTTTGCCGAAACTGAGATGTGAGCTCCACTTCGACTAGGAAAATATTCACAATAAATTTATATGAAATATTTCATAGTTTAACATAATTCTAATATTGTACATTTTAGAAACTTTATTATACTTTATTTAAAACAAGTGCCATTTGGCACTTTGATGAGAAATCAGTAGCTAACGAAAGATTTCAATAATAAAATATGATCTTATCGGTTTATCTTTTCTTTATTATTTATTGTCAAGTCTATACAGTTTATTACAAATCGGATAATAATAATTTTTTCACTAAATATTTTAGATATACTATTCGTGGTATTTTATTTTTCATCATATATTAATATTATTTATCATATAATTATTATTCTTCATCGTCACATATTATTCTTGATCATTACTTATTATTCTTCATCATCACTTATTGTTTTTCATCATATATTATTATTATTTAAATTATGAGTATTTTATGGTGCTGCTGTAGAAGAATAGCACGTTCTATGTCAATCAGTATTATTGGAAGACCACAACAAATAATGTGGATCACGCAACGTTATTCGTCTACATTTGTCAATGATTTCTTTAAACAACAATTCAATCGTATTTGCAATATATTAGAACAGTATAATCTCATCAATGTTCCTATTGATAATGAAGAAAAAAAAGAAAAAGCATTCCAATCATGTATACCTATTTTTGAACATATTCGAAAAGCTCCATTACATGATGATATTTATAATTATATCGAACAAATTCTATCTACATTGGATATTGATATTCATGTTAAAGATGGATTTGAAAATATATTCAAGTCTATTATCGAAGAGATCCAAAAGTTAAAACTTTGTGTCGATACAAGTGCAACAAGAATAGAAGGACAAGAAAAAACAATTAAAGAACAAGGAATAACAATTAAAGAACAAG